CAATGTTACAATGTTTTGGTATTTGTATTGTTGGTTTTTTTTTTTTTTTAAATGATGGGATGGGATCTAGAACTAGATAGATCTAGATCTCTAGATATCTAGATCTACTAAAGATCTTCACAATCACAATACACTTGATAATAACATTAATTATGAACATTAATTCTGTTGGCAAAATATTTAGATATAGTCTTGATTAGTACTAGATCTAGATCTACGATAAGGGGACGCTGCCAGTAACATGCTCACCTCAATAATATTGTCATTAAACTTAAGGCCATCCAAAGCAAGCAAAAAAGAATAATACAAGCCTTTTCTCCAATTTACAAGAAAGAGATAAATAAATTGAGCTTATATTGAGGAAATGTATTATTTCTCACTTTAATGTGTTTGCATCAGTAGTGTGTACAACAACATGCTTTGTTTAAAGCACGTGCGAGTCTAACAAATACAAGAGTAGAGATTAGAGAATGTGTCGGTTGCACATAAAATACATAGGCCTATTGTACATGCTGCCAAAAACACAAAAATGCAGAAAAGGCCTCAAAATATTGGTTTACACATAAAAGTCAATAATGCAAAACAAAGTAAACAAGAGTGGAACTGGCATTTGCTTTCTGAATATATGTTCAAAGTCATTTTCTGTGTGTTGGGAGTGTGATTTCTAATGCATGATAGGCTCATTCAGATGTGATAATGAAGAAACTTGTGTCTACAGTTACAACAGAAAGAGTTCCATAGCGAGTGATCACTGGTCAAGGATTTCAGAGCTGTGTGCATTTTGGGAAAAATGTATCCCCATACCCTGGATCACATGTTGAGGGGATGGGCTTGTCCCCCTGTAATCCCCGCACACAGTAAACAAACACATATTTTTGAACACGAATAAGAAAAAATAAGTGGTCTCTTGTTACGGATCAAATTGAAGTCATGTTTCAATTCGATTAATTGATAAAAGTGCGTATCGCAATGCGTTGGCCACCCCTGCCCTATAGGACTATGCTATTTAATAAATACATTCGTCAGACCTGGAATCTTTAATGCCCGCACACAGTAAACAAACACACATTTTTGAACACGTATAAGAAAAAATAAGTGTTGTCTTGTTACGGATCAAATCGAAGTCCTGTTACAATTCCATTAATTGATAAAAGCGTGTATCGGCGCAAGGCATCGGCTAACCCAGCACTAGTACTATTACGCTATTTTATAAATACATTCGTCAGATCTGGAATATTTAATCTTTAATTTTTAATCCAAGCACACAGTAAACAAACACACATTTTT